TAAAATTATAGAATGTTCAAAACGTGTTACACTATTCAAGAATGATTGATCTAACACCCTTCCCTACCTCGCATCCCTCCAAACGATACATATCGGCATACTCCATGGTGTATGAAGATATGTAATTGTGTTACAACCCTGATAGTATCCTATTATTTATTAGATGATCATTTACATATACTAAAAAACAAGATTTAGACTTGTTTTGCTACTAGGAAATAAACTCTTTTTGGGCTATGGGTACAGGTGGAACAAAAATAAAGTCTCTATCCTACAATTCATTTTTTTGCTATCATTTTGAAATAGAGAGGCTAACAATGACACCAAAATTGCCATTGCAGGGGTGCTAAGTGTGATTTCGAACACATGGAGGGTGCTAGGTGTGATTAAAAGAAACCTCAAGGGAGGTTTCTGATATTAACCCTTTTCTAATTGTGTTTTTTACTTTTACCGTGCAACAACTATAAACAATTAATGCTTTATTTAGTTCTTAATACATACCTCTGTTATCTTAATGCCTTTTGCTGGAACGGTGCTTTGATACTCCTTCCTACACACATTAAATATTAACCAATTAGCTGTGCATTCTACTCATGGTTATTATTTTCAATAAACATCAATCTTACCTAAACTTCATCCACGCATTCAACGGTGGAACTGGTTTTCTAACTTCACTTGTACCCGCTGCCTCTATTCCTTCATTTTTGCCTAAACTCTTGTTCCGTCTTTCGCTTCTTATCTGTGCCATCCTGTTCATGAATAACAACAAATACAATAAACATATACCACTGAAGTCTCAAATACGACATACCAGTTACACGTTAACATTTCTACTCTGTTTCTTCTATGTACTTGTTAATCCACACCATGTAACATTTATCCAACACTGTGTTCATGCACAATAAATAATACAATCTAACATACATCAATGCAGTCCAAAATACGACATTCCAATTTCAATCTAACAATTCTCTTCTCTTTCTCGCCGGTACCTGCTAATCCACACCATATAACATTTATCCAACACCACGTAACACTTATCCAACACTTTGTTCATGCACAAGAACTAATACCATAAACATACATCAATGCAGTCCCACGCACGACATTCAAATTTCAATCTAACATTTCTCTTCTCTTTCTAACTGGTACCTGCTAATACACACCATGTAACAGTTATCCAACACCATGTAGCATCTATCCAACATTTTGTTCATGCACAACAACTAATACAATAAACATACATCAATGAAGTCCCAAATACGCCATTCAAATTTCAGTCTTAACATTTCTCTTTTCTTTCTGTCCTGTACCTATTAATCTACACCATGTAACAGTTATCCACCAATATGTAAGATTTATCCAACATTGTCTTCATGTACGTGAACTAATAGAACACATACACTAATGAAAATTACAAAATGAGACATACCAATTTTACACTAACATTTCTACTCTTTGCTTCTCTGACTACACCAATGAAATCTCAAATATAACATACCAATCTCAGACTATCATTTCTAATTTGTCCTTCGCCTCTACCCTTTATCATTTTCTAGATCTTTTCCTTATACTATGTACTACATCTCACAAGTTTTGACTTTCTTATGTTAATGCTTTACACTTTAACACACCGTATCAATGTTTCTTCTTGTCACTTTTTTCCCACATAACATAATTTTTAGCCAACGTGCTATATTATCCTTCATTGCACTGAATTATTTTGTCACTATTTAGTTTCGTAGTGTATGATACACTCAACGCATTGTATTATCTACTTAGCATATCGTAATTCAGCATCTACACCCATTTTTTACGCCTACGAAATCCCAAACCCATTCACACATTTTATCAAGCAGTTGTGCCGCAAGATTTTCCCCTCCTTTCCTACTCTCATGTTTCGACGATCACAGACAATTTTACATAACACTTCTATCATGCTGAACTTTTTTACTTACTATACAAAAGCGTCATAGTGTACACCAAAAACATCCACAAGTAAGGTCTTTCCACTTTGAAGTATAAATTACACACATTACTGTATCATCCCAGGTTTTCACATGTTTTACCTTTACGATTTGTGGTCTTTCACTACTCAGGATCCAACGCTCTTCAACTTTGTAACTTGGGTTCACCTTTCTTCTTCTTTTACTAAAGTCGATTCACAACAAAATTGGCCTTCTGCCACCACTTCTTCCTTCTGCTTCCTCTGCTCAACCTTCAACAATGCCACAGTTCCACAGCTTGATTCCAGTGTCACACTGTTCTTGCCAATCTCCTCTTTTTCTCTATTATTTCTCCTCTCGTCTATTGCCCTAGTTGTTGACAGTTATGAATTTCAGCAACTGTTTCGTGAGTTTGGGAGAGAGTCTAAGTGGGAACCTTCATTTTCAACCTTTCATTTTGGGCGGGAGGAAGCTTACCAACGTTGCTGCTGTTCCGTAACTTGCCGTTACCCCAGATACAATTTTAGATTTTTTTCCCTTCTCAGTTAATAGAACGTCGTTGTTTTGGTCTCACATGAAGGCTTGCTGACTTGGACCATTTCTCGCCTCACGTTCGGTCTTGTGAGGGGACCGCTCAGGAGCGGTCATTCTGAGGACCGCTCCTGCCCCTAATCCATGAAGCACGGATTAGGGGCAGGAGCGGTCATCAGGTCGACCGCTCCTGAACGATCCTCTCACAGGCAAAAACATGAGGAGAAAAATGATCCACGTCAGGAAGGCTTAAGAAAGGGTAAAAACGACGCCGTTCGAAATTAAAAAATTTTGACTTCCAAACGGAATCAGACGGAGCAAACGGTAGAATTGAAATTTTGAAAAGCAAGTTGAAATTTTGAAATAGTCGTAGAAAACAAAATTGAGGGAAGAGTTTTGGCATGCTCCGTCTGAAGGTAGGGAGTTGACAAAAAACTCTTATCTCAGTTTTCTTTTCTTAGAAAACTCTTTTCTCAGTTTCCGTCCGAGAGTGTTACCGAGAAACGGAGAAGAGACTTCGGAAACTGGGTCAGCAAATGTTGTATCCATTTAAATGCTTACAAGGCAGGCGGCAAGGTAGAGGCAAATAGAGGAAATTCAGCATCTCATAAAACACTAGATTTTGTCCTTCAACTTAATAGCAGAAGCAGCTGCACTCTCTCCGAGTTTGGTGAAACGTAGAGCGTATTTACAATACCAAGGTAATGTGACTGAACCATGTAACTAATTGTAGCCAATCATTTGTCACCCAAATGCACATCTGTTAAATGAAGGATGAAATTAGATTTACTAAAGACATCATATGAAGATGGCAGAAGAATAGTAAAGTTATACCGTATCTGTGTGTATGTGAGCATTCAACTTTTTAGTGATAGATTATAATGAAATAGTAGTTATCGGAAGACCCAGGGGTATATATTCAAGTAAAGCGGAATTAGGGAAAGATGAGAAAAATAAAGTCACATTTCACAAGTGAATGAATGTACATCCTATTGTAAATTAGTTACAGGTTATAGGCACTGTATTATAATTGATATGAATCATTGTGCATCCAGCAGTTGGTCCATGCTCATGACACAATCTTAGTTTGCCCTTCTCTCCTGACCATTCGGTGTGTGTAAAATAGAGGTACAGAGTTGAATGAGGTGAAGCAGAGGAAAAGACCGACCTATGTGAATAATAAATGGGTGTACTTGGTATTGTAAGTAAATTACATGATGTAATAAATATATTACAATGAGTAGAAAATGCTTATTTGGCCCTCAAAATATAGAAATAGTAGAAAATGCGGAGTTAGTTTCGGCGGTTGTCATTAACGAATGACATAAGGTCCAGTGAAACAAGGTACCAGAACCTAAATATAATCACCCGAGTGGATGAACATACAGTTAAAACATACTTACATCATGTGACCAACACATTATAGTACGTATAACCTAATGTATATGGAGTTGTATTGTATATACATAATGTCGTTGTATTAGAGTATAATAGAATTTGGTATACGAGTATTTGTAAAACATTAATCATATCAATTGGGAGTAGTAATAGGATTTGGTATACAAGTAATGTGTGTAACATAACACATTATGAATGGTAATATGCACTTATGTTGTAGTTTATATACATATTATTCATGAACTATTATAAATTATGGTGTTTGATACATAGTTGGTAGGAGCAGAAGTAATGGATTGTAGCAAATTAGCAAAAGATGGGACTCCTGAGTTTGGAATGGAGTTCAATAGTGAGGAAGATGCGTACAAGTTTTACAATAAATATGCTTTTAAAATGGATTTTAGTGTACGCAAAGACTATTTAAAATGGGTTCTAGAAGCAAAGTTGTAAATTAGTTACATGTTATAGGCACCGTATTACAATTGATATGAATCATTGTGCATGTAGTAGTTGGTCCATGCTCACGGGGCAATATTAGTTTGTCCCTCTTCTGACCATGCAGTGTGTATAAAATGGAGGCGTAGATCAGAATGAGGTGAAGCAAAGGAAAAGACATATATGTGAATAATAAATGGGTGAATCTTGTGTTGTAAGTAAATTACATGATGTAAGAAATATATTACAATGAGTAGAAAGTACTTGTTTGGCCCTCAAAATGTAGAAATAGTAGAAAATGTGGAGTTGGCTTATGCGATTGTCATTAACGAATGACATAAGGTCCAGTGAGCTAAAGAACCTAGAATAAAAATATAATCACCAGCGTGGATGTACATACAGTTAAACTAGATTTACATTGTGTGACCAATACATTACAGTCTGTATAAGTTAGTGTACATGGAGTTGTATTTGTACATAGATAATGCCATTGTCTTAGAGTAAAAGTAATGTGATGTGAATCATTAATCATATTGATAAGCACAATAATAGGATTTGGTATACGAGTAATGCGTGATTCATAACACATTATGAATGGTAATATACATTTATGTTGTCATTTATGTACATACTATTCATGAAGTGTTGCAAATTAGGGTGTTTGATGCATAATTAGCAGGAGCAGAAGTAATGAATTGCAGCAAATTGGCAGAAGATGGGACCCCTGAGTTAGGAATGGAGTTCAACAGTGAAGAGGATGCGTACAAGTTTTACAATAAGTATGCCTTTAAAATGGATTTTAGTATACGTAAAGACTATCTGAATAAAGACAAAGACGGCGTGACCACGCCTAGGAGATATAGTTGCTGCAAGGAAGGTGTGAAGCGCAAGTACGAAGGTGATGTGATGCCAAAGAGGACACGAGCATCGACGAAAACAGGGTGCTAAAATGGTTAACGTATTATTTAGAGGGACAATAAAGTACCGTGTGCATGACCTTGTCTTAGAGCATAATCATGAGCTGCACATTGCTCAATGTGCGCACATGATGCCATCACAAAGAAAAGTAAGCGTGGCTCAAGGATTCCAAACTGAAATAAGCGAGGATGCTGGGTTTTCATTGAAACAGAGCCATGAGTTTATGGGAAAGGAGGTAGGTGGGATGGGTAATGTGGGATATACTCGGAATGATCTTAAACGATATCTTCGAACGAGACGGGAAAGGAGCTTGAAATATGGAGAAGCAGGTAGCATGTTAAATTATTTTCAAGAGCAAACACTGGAGAATCCATCCTTTTTTCATGCCGTACAGCTGGACTGTGAAGAACGGATAACGAATATCTTTTGGGCAGATACATGAATGTTAATTGACTACAACTTTTTTGGAGACGTAGTCACATTCGACACAACCTACAAAACAAATAAAGAATACCGGCCACTTGGAGTATTTGTGGGTTTTAACCAGCATAGGCAAATTGTGATATTCGAGGCTGCCCTTATGTATGATGAGATGATAGATTCTTTCAAATGGGCGTTTGGTACATTTCTAGAAGCAATGTGTGGAAAGCGTCCAAATACCATACTAACCGATCAAGATCACGCCATGGCAGCCGTTATTTCAGTTGTCATGCCTGAAACATTTCACGGTCTATGTATGTTTCACATAAGGCGTAATTTTATGAAACATCTTGGCAATCACTACAAGGAAAATAGTGATCTTCCATACATGTTTGGTGCCTGTATGTATGAGTTTGAAGAAGTGGAACAATTCAATAGGGTGTGGGAGGCGATAGTGAAGAAACACAATCTTGAAAATAATGAATGGCTCTCCGGGTTATATAGAATTCGTGATAAATGGGCAAGGTGCATGATGAAAGAAAGATGGATCGCAGGAATGCGAAGCACCCAACTTAGCGAAAGTCTAAATGCAGCAATTAAAAATCATTTGAAATAGGATCATGACCTTGTGCAGTTCTTTAGACATTTCAATCGGGTGGTTGATGAAAAGAGACATAATGAACTGATCGCAGAATATGAAATAAGGCAAAAGCTGCCCATGGTAGGGTTAAGGCAAACACCTATGCTTGTGCATGCATCAGAGACGTATGCACCAACCATATTTGTTGCATTTCAAAATGAATATGGCGAGTCAATAGCTATGGTTATATTGAGACAACAAGATGCAGCGATGTTTGTGGAATTTACAGTTATAAGGTATGATGGAAGACCTGAAAGAATAGTGGTATTCAATCAGAATGATCTAAGTGTGCGTTGTAGTTGCAAAAAATACAAGAATGAAGGCATTTTATGTGGGCACGCGTTGAAGGTGTTTGATACCGTGGGCATAAAAATAATTCCTCCTGAATACGTTAAGAAGCGATGGACAAAAAGAGCTCGGGTTGGAGACTGTTTTGATCGGCGACGACGGGAAGTTGTGACTGATCCTAAAGTAACGATTTCAACTCGTTATCGGGAGCTCGCTCCAGCCATGATTAAGGTCGCAACTCGAGCACCAATGTCGGAGGACACCAGCAAAGTAGCAATCACTGTCATATCCAATTTGGCAAAGAGAGTTGATCTCCTCCTCTCAGAAAGCGAAAAGCCAACCTTTGCAAAATGAAAAAATCTGAATATGGAGGAATGGAATAAAATTGAAATCGTAAATGAAATGGGGGAGGCAGTAGTCGCAAGAGGTATTAAAAAACGAGGCGGTGGGAAGAAAAGTAGAGTGATGCGAAGTTGGGTCGATAAATTTGATAGAGTAAAAAGAAAATCTAGATTATCAAGGACTACACAGACTACGGTATGGATCAAATTTTTGTACTTGAGGAACATTTATGCTAAAACTAAGTTATCGTTATACTATTAACTAAAGTTTAGGTACCATTCATATGAAATAATATTATTGCTGTGTCAATACTGTAGGCCCCAGAATCGGAGTCGACATCGGTTTCATTTGAGGAATACATGTTTATGGGATGTCGTTCATCTACTGATTTTGTTTCGGTTAGTATAAAATGGACATGACTCTTGCTTTTATTTGGATGTTTCTAACAGCATAAATTGTTACATTGTGTGATAATATTATTACAGCCGTCATCCCTCCTGATATACCTATTTTGTTTGTCTTATACAATGATTTGGCCCATACGAAACTCGTAGACGCATTCAATGAGTCAAACGGTGAATGGCCCTCCAAACGCTGTTGCTCCCGATATCGATGAAAGTGAAACGGTATGCATATATTTAGTAGCTAAAATAAAGACTTTTTTGTTCGTGTAATGGAGCTACCTTTTTTTCTTTAATTGTAATGGTAGGCACCCGAACGCTGTCAAATTATGCAAATTATGTAGTTAACGTATGCTCGCTTTAATAATATATTATTTTTATTATTCGAAGGTCCACCGTTTGGCTAATCAGGGGCCTCCTGCAAGTGTCCCTACAGAATGGATGCATCCCATATTTTCTATTTTTTCCAAGCATAACTCCGTCAGAGATGTTTTAATAGTCTGATATATCATTTTTGTTATAATGTCTAGTCCAATTTAACTTTATAAGTAATCAATATAGGCACTGGTAATGATTTGTTGACAGCCGATTACTTATACTATATAATGTAGGAGGAGCGTGCGGCAATTTCAACACACTGTGATGTTGATGCATTCATGTATTTGCACCATCACCCTAGGTGACAAACTTTTATCGTTATAGCACATATTTATGTAATGTTATTAATTAGAGACTTGGACATCGTATATCATTAATCGTATGTTTCATTAATAATATTTGATGATTTGCCATCGTTACACATTTCAGAGAAGGAATTACACCCAGGGATTTCAACTACGCGTTGATGTCGCCTCCCCCAAGAATGAGGTTGATGAATGATGTGTAACTATACTTTTTGAACGAGACATTAAGTGGTTGTCCCAACCTGGGAATGCTACATATGTACGTTACAAGCAGTTGATAAACTGTTACAATTTATTGCTGAGGTTGTACAGGCACTATTGTCTAGTGGATTACAATTGTAATAACATCCAGTGTTAGTAGTCATCAATTGTTTGTATTGGGTTGTCTAAAATTGTTAGAAAATTATAAAGTTGGTAGAAAATTGAAGTAGTAATTTTACAATAGAATTGAACGTATTTTTTGTGATAGGATATTTTGCACTAAATCGACCATAACAGTTGAATGGCTGTCGTGATATGTATACCATTCTACTACATTTAATTGCATACCTTAATAACATATTTATTGGCATAGATCGTACCGCCAAAGGTACGATGTATAAGATAATACAATCTAAAGTATAAATTGTCTTGATTTTGTTACGATGCTAAATTCGAACTATTATTGGGCTATTTTTATAAAAATATTATCATTTAGGCCATTTGTTTTGCATCGCTTGACGAATTTAGCGCACCATTGACATGATGTATCACAGGCACATCAATTTGTATTATAAGTTTTTAGGTTAACTGAATTATGGCCAAGCCAGATCACAACCACATGTTGGTAATAGGTGCGCATAAGAAAATGATTCCTTGAAGAACTAATTTGTAACGTTAAAACGAAGTTTTACAATGCAACGAAAAGGAAGAACAAACAGTACACAATGGGTTACAACTAGTTAGGGATATGTTACTGTTGCGTTACAACTAATTACGACTGTTTAACAGGCATGATTAATATCCAAATATAGTAAGTAATTTGTTTGAGTAGAGATTATAATGAGTATAGTTTTATAGCTACCCTGATGAACGTTGGACTACATCCCTTGTTATCAGTTGTATCCCATACAACACCTGGGAACGCCGTCATGCACTAGACAATGGGGTATGTACCTTTGAAAGTCATCATCGCTTCATTCAGTAAAGTCAAATAGGTTCGGATCGGATATAAGCATGGGACCTGCTAAAATGTACTGAAAATCAAAATGTTTTCCAATACCATGTCTTTTTGCGGCCTGGATCTCGTGGAACCTGTGAAGCCTACGCTCCATCTGCATAACTTCTCGTTGTAGTCTATGTAATATGCTTGCATCATTGGCTTGTGGTCCTATAAAAAGATCCGCTGACCTTTTTCTCGGGACGCGGAGGCCATGCCAGCGATAAAATACCTCTAATTCCATTCTTCGCTCACGAACAGGCTCCCATATGAGTTCATGGTCCATAACGAAATAGCCAGACAGTAGATGATTGTTGACGATATTTTTAAAAATGTGACCAGCTAGTCCCCGAGAGTTATTGGTGTTAAGTGGAGCATTCCTGAACTCGCGTTTGGTATCATATAAAATCCTCCCGTCTGGTGTTTCGTACTTGCTTATAGCATTTGTTGGACCCAACGATAGTTTCCTCTTTTTTGCCGAACATTTGATGGTGAGCTTGTATGAGATCCTTCGTTTATGGATTGCATGACTATGCAAATACCTACTGCTTTTTGGTTGGATGAAAGGAAGAATCTGCTGATGAAGAATTAGGTGGGAGAAAAAAAGAGATAGAAATTTTTTACGGAGCACCTGTTTCAAACCATGCATAGTAAATGGTTTCTTCTGGCAACTTGACCAACTGCTTGCTGTGTCATTTCATGCTGTTCTCCACGGGATAGTACTCATGGATGAGTAGATAAAGGCATGGCAACCACCTATTAACGAAAGAATAGACTCAACGTTTGGTCAAATGTATAGTGTGTGGATGAAATAATGGTTCAATTCGATTGGGTCATGACCTGTACTCCATCAACAATTGGGTCAAGTGAATACCCAGTTATACGTCAGTCACCTTACTTTTCAAGTGTAACAAGAAGTTACAACCAGCATATGTACATTACAAGAAGTTAATAAGCTGTTACCGCTTATTGATGTGTTTGTACAGGAACCTTGTCATTTGCCTGTATGTTAAAACTTATAGAATTTGTTTACAATTGTTTTAACGATGAGTATTACAGATAGTATTACAGGCATTTCAATAGGTATTACTCCTTCAATATAGAAATGAAGTTACAATTGGCGGCTCGGCTTGGTTCCACATGAACATATAATAAGTAACAGTTTCGCAAAAGAACATGATACTTCGTTGGGATAAGTAATTTGAAAGTAGGTTAACTAATATTTAAAATACAACAAATTTTGATTACGCCATGTACATGTTGAGTTACAACCAGTTATGTATATGTTACAATTCATTACGACTAATGAATTTGCCATTAGCAGTTTTTCATCTTATCCAGTTAAAACTAGTGATATTACAACTAGAAATTCCCTGATATTTTAAATCATCAGATCGATATTGGTACCTTAACTCATCAGATCCGCTACCAACATTGCTAGATGAAGACATTTGAACGATGTAAATCTCCTTTGGGGCATATGATTAGAGAATATGGGGTCAAAGGATGAAATAATGGTTTTGTGTTGATCGGAATGGTTCACACAGGTGGCAGTTTATATGTGACTCCTCTCAGATATAAACTAGCAACCATGGAGTGAAAGTTGTAGCAGTGTTTACGTACAAAGCGTTAAAGCGGCAATACCAGATATTCGAACAGTGTTACGTGGAGTTATTAACCAGTTATGAAAAATTGCTGCTGTTATTCTGTAATGGAACTTAACAATATTTTTTTATCACCCCTACTGGTTCGGAGTTACTATAGCTTTTGTAAAATAAATTTGAGTGGTTGATCTGTTTTAGTATTAAACTGCTAATTGTTTATGTCCATTAGAGTTTGAGGTTTGGTCCAATGTCAATAAAAAGAGGGTATGAATTGGAACCAAAAGTAATATCTAACGCAAATTTTATGTAAACACTTCTATTTTCTCTATTAAAAGAGTATGCGATGAAAATTTAAAGGCAAATCATGAGCAAAGTTACCATCAATATGTAACAGTCCGTCAACATTATGTAATTGTCATCAACGTTTGGGGTAACGTAGTCATGATAAAAAAAATCAATTTAGAAACAAATATCATATAATTACTCGTTCGCATTAAAAGAGTAGTCTGGCAAAAAAAGTAACTAAAGTTTTTTCTAACAGCCATTTATTTTTTACGCAAGTGCCATTTGTTATCAAAATCTATTTGGGTGAACCAATTAAACTTGCAATTCAACCCCGATGAGCGGTTGTCACACAACGGTTAAGTCATAGCAGACGATAATTGAAAAATTACAATAAAGCACAACCGAGACAATTGATATACAACATAAATAACAAATTACGTCGTAATCGGCATTTACACATTCCAATTTGGCTTGCATTAAGCCTTCTAAAAAAAACTTGTTTAAGTGATCTGACATTAAAGATGTCTTTCATCAGGGTTCTAAACTTTAGCAAAAAAAAAATCTTTGTTTCGAAACAAAATATCTGCATTTCTTGATAACTGTTTACAGAATAGTCTCAACTTCAGGACCTCGGCCAATACTTCAACTTATTTTTTTTTGGAATTTGCGAGGTCGCTATGATATCCGCCAATTTTGAATTCTACTTTGATGTACACAACCGAGCCGTGTATAGTACTTGATACTTGCCAATATTTGTCTAGCACAGTCAAACCAGAAAATTATGTTAGACGATAACGTGTGAAGTCTAACAACATTTTGTTCATAATACAATTCAATCATG